GTACTGTTGAGAACTATTCCGAGCCGCAGCTTGTATATGCGCTCACCCTACGAATCAACCTCCCGGTGTGAGCTTATGGATTACGCCGAGAAGAGGGGGGGGGGGGGGGGGGGCATGCCTCTTCAGTGGCATATCCCACCGCGCCATGTCCAAAGAAGGGCAGATCCTTCCCAAACCGTCCCAGGAGAAGGAAAAAAAATAAATAAAAAAGTATAAGCGTTGTAGTCATGCCTCGTCTGGTAAAAACCTATGTACAGATCACACTCCACATGTATCCCTGCCCGAAAAAGAAAGAAAAAAACGCCTCGCTCCCAAGAGGTAGTAGTAAAGAAGGAGAAGGAAAAGAATGAGAGAGGAGAAGAAGAAGATGAAAAAAAGGAAGAGAAAGAGGAGAGAGAAGAAACGCCCCCACAGGATGCCCGACGTCATCATGCCTGGTAGCATGATAAGAGATGTCACCCCAGACTGTGACCGTGAGAACAGATCACGAGGTCAAGTTGAGCGACTGCTTGAGGATGGCCTCGCTAGCCCTCCACCACCTGGCGCGCTGCTCTAGGTCGTCTGCCGCGCCACCGAGCGAGCCCTCCTTCCTCCGCTGGGCCTCCTTGGCCGCAGCCATGCTGCTCTGCCTCTTGGCCTCGAGCGGCAGCAGCTCGGCGTGGAGCCTGTCAGCTTCCTTCCTCTTGCGGGGCACCTTTGCCCGCAGGGCCTCCAGCTCGCGGCCGAGTTCCTGATCGACCCGTTTCCGACCGGTGACGAGTTCGAGCGTCTTGGTCAGCGGTAGTCTCTGGTCCGGGCCGCCGCCGCCGAGCGTCTCTCGCGCCTCGTCTCGCAGCTCCCGGATGCGGTCCTCGAGTTCGCCGGACCTGCCCGGCAGGTCGCGCAGCTGGGCCGTCTCGAGCGTGATCGACTCGTAGCGGCGGCTCAGCTCGCGCGCCCGGCGCTCCAGGTCGGCCACCATGTCGGCCACCTCGAGCTTGAGCGCCTTGAGCTCCGACTTGGCCGCCGCGTTCTCCTTCTCCAGCTCGAGGTTCTCCTGCATCGTCACGATCAGGGGCGGGTCCCCGACTATGGCGCGGATGAACTTCTCCTTGGTCACCTGCTCCACGTACGAGAAGCGGAGCTTGGCGAAGAGCTCCCTGTAGTGCTCCAGGTCGGCCTGCAAGCTGGACGGCGTCGGCACGTCCAGCGACGCGTTCGACGCGTCCGACGTGCGCTGGGGCTGCTGCTCTCGCGTCGGACCGTCCGTCGAGGCCACCGCTGCTGCGATCGGCTCGCTCAGCTTGAGGATGGACATCTCGCGCGTCTCGACGTCTTCGAGCGCCTGGAGCGCCTCGGTCGCCTTGGTGGGATCCATGACGTTTCGGGTGGGGAGGGACGGATGCCTTGTTCCGAGTCCTCTCTGATGAGTCTCCGTCGTTGCGTGCTGCGTGCTGCGTGTGGAGGGATTCCAAGCCATCGACTTCCTCCTTGTAGTTGTTTACTTGACCCCGAATCGAGTTAAGTGCGGGGGCGATCACAAATGCCCCTTCGATTATGTAGTACTCGTCTACGCCACAATATACAGATTACCCTGTACCCGTTTACATCCAAGTGGCGTCATGGCCGCTTCGCATCCATCCTTCTTTTCTATTCCCCCCCCCCCCCCCTCATCTTCCTTCCCCCATCGAACATCAAGATGACCTCTGACCGCATCACTTCAGACGCCGGTCTCCTCCCTGTACACACTTTCGAGCGCAACCGTTCTGCCCACCTGTGACGCAACTTGCTTCGACCGAACCGCACGGGCACATCAGCCCAGTACGGTGGGGGGGGGAGAGAGAGAGAGAGAGAGCGCCGCGCCGCTATTGATTGCCCGGAGGCCGCCATGTCTACCCACGATGATCTGCTCACTGACGAGTACGTTGCCGAGCTCCTGGCCAAGGATGCGAAGGACTGCTCGCTGAAATTCTCCGCCATGGGCATGGAGGCCTTCAACCCGACCAAGAAGTAGGCGCCTTCCCGGACACCACCGTGCCATGGCCCGTCTCATTTCTCTATACATGCATCTTTCTGATCTCGTCGCTGACGATTCGATCACTACAGGCCCACCAATATGCCCAAGCCCAACACGAGATTCCTGCGACACATCATCAAGAATACGGATTCGCACAACAGCCGGCTCCTGGAGAAGGAGGCCGCAGAGTCGCGGGCGCGGCTGGAAAGTCTGGAGAACGCCGAGGAGGCCAGGCGCCTCAGGACGAATCCCAACACCCGAGACATCCGACGCCGCCAGATGGGCGACATCCATGCCATTCTGGGAGGCAAGAAGAGGAAGACGGAATCGGACGACGACAAGGGTGCCAAGGGAGACGGCGGCAGTAGCAGCAGCTCCAGGCGGCGTGTCAGGGACGACGCCGAGCGATGTTCATCACCGTCAGGCAAGGACCGGGATCTGTTCAGCCATCGCAGCGACAGCACCCGCAACCATCACGGCCGCCTAGCAGGCGACGATGACGGGGAGGAAGAGAGCCGTAGGAGACGGCACCGCCACCACCGTCCCCGCCGGCACGACGACGGCCAGAGGTCGTCCAGGCGACGAGTCGGCTCGGACGACGAGGATCCGGACGACGACCACGCGAGGCGGAGGAGCAGGAAGAGGCGACATAGCCGACGCGACGGCGACAGGTCACGATCGCGATCTCCCGACCGTCGACAGAGAGATCCCCCCGCTCACGAATCGACGACAAAACACCGCCACCACCGACACAGGTCGCCCGCATCAAGGAGCAGCGGGAGATCCTCCCGTCCCACCCGAGACGTCCAAAAGGAGGCGGGCAGGAACGATGACGACTCGGATCCACTCGAAGACCTCGTGGGACCGATGCCAGCCCCCAAGCCGCGGGGTCGCGGTGCTCTGGCAGGCTCATCAGGTATAGACCGCCGATTCTCCGACACGTACGATCCCAGAGCCGACATCCGGATGGATGATGACGATGACAACAATAACAGCAACAATACCAACCGGTATCATGTCAATAGTCACACTACGACTACGAATGGCAACAAAAACTACAACAACAACGACGACGACTGGGACGATGCGGTCGAGATATTCAGGGACCAGCAGAAGTTGAGACAGAATCAAACCCAACGGTTCAAATCTGCGGGTTTCACAGACGAGGACATCCAAAAGATGCAGCAGCAGCAGGCAGCGGACAACCGACCTGAGGAGGATCTAGGATCGGTCACCTGGTCCAAGGCTGGGGAGAAGAGGGAATGGGACAAGGATAAGATCGGACCGGAGTGATGCATCTCGAGAGGTGAGAGGATTGCCATGTTTCAGTCCGAGCAGACCCTCATATAAGGCATGGTCTGATCCCAGGACTGACTTTTGTACGCTCATCTTGTTTCCTTTCCTTTCTCTTCCCACCTGTACGAGTATATGATAGAAGCGATCTCATTGATCTTGATTATTACTGTCATATAAGTCGTCGGCTTTCTTTTTTTTCTCTCTCTTCTTTTCTTCGACCACCTTCCATTTCGCCAAGACAGCTACACACTCGTACCGAAGAAGAGCGGGAACGGGGAGAGCATCGGTTGCACTGCGACGTGGACGTACGTCCGTCCCGCGACTCGCCTTGGGTTAGTCGTGCGGGAAAGTGCGGCGATCATCAGAGGCTCAAAGGCCTTCTCTATCACGCCTGTATAACACGTTGGTAATGCAATGTGTCTTCTGATTTTAAAATTACAATTCTTTTCTTTAGAATATCAATTTTCTATATATATATATATAACTCTACAGCAAAGTAAAATGTGAGAAACAAAGCAAAGAGGGCTGATGGAGTCAGGTATAAGCTGTCAATGTCTCATTCCAGCCGGAAGGATGGAGAGAAAGAAACGTTGACAAAGCGGAACAGCGTCATGATGCAGCATACGATGGTCCTAAGAAAGAAAGTGCTATTAGAATTGATTTTCTAGTAAGGAACCGAAACCGAAACCGAGAGAGGGAATTTGATCCCCCTCTCCCCCCCCCCCTCTCCCCCCCCTTTCCTGAAAGAAACAACCCCCAAGGTTCGATCTCTAGAGCAGGGAGAGAAAGAGGGAGGAGACTAAAACGAGGTCCCATAACACAAGGAACAAAGGGGCCGAGCTCTGTACAGAAGCCAGCGTGATATGTGCCTGTCTGTCGGTGAGCCTGTCGCGTTGATCGCTCCCAGGGAATGTCTGCTTCGTAGAACTCCTATCATGAAGGTTGTCAGAGTGGACATGCCAGTGGGAACTTTCGGTCAACACATACTGCTGCTTCTTAATAGTATACTGTTATAGCTCTGAACATGATTAGCATTGCGATATGAATCATATGAAAAAAAAGAGAGAGATCAAGTGCGTCCTGTAATACGACTGGCATCTCTTTCTGCTACTTTCCCATCCTTTCAACGGGAGACATTCTTTTCTGTTCTTTCCAGAACATGCTGGTAGATGATCGTCAACTCCCGGATGGCCGGCCTTGGGGTTCTTGAAAGCAGCGCCAGCCCCGAGCCTACGAGGACTGGATAGGCTGAGCCTCTCTACCCCTGGTGAGGCCCTAGACGGAATCCACGCGTAGGACAGTTGCGTTCCACAGCAGTCTTTCTTCATGTCTAATGGCATGCGATGACCTCCATCGTCGGTATATATACATGCAGTATCGGCAGCAGAATACCTCATCATCATACCACACCGTTGACCGTCAACGTGCCCGTCTTGGTAATCATGTACTCGCTCACGGCAACGTCCTTGCCGGCCTCCTTCCCGTAGCCCGAGTACTTGATGCCTCCGAATGGTGACTCGGCAGCTGACGAATTGCCTTGCGTGACCAGAGTTAGCATCCTGCAGTGACACTCGCACGGCATCGACGGCGGGAGATCGGTCAAGACTTACCGCTGTTGAGACCAATCATGCCAGCCTCCAGGTTCTCATACAGACGCCAGATGCGGTCGACATCCTTGGTGAAGGCGTAGCTGGCGAGGCCCATGGGGGTGTCGTTCGCGGCCTTGACGGCCTCGTCCTCCGTCTCGAAGCGGTAAAAGGCGGCGATGGGGGCGAAGCACTCCTCGCACGACATGCGCGACTCGTGGGACATGTCGGTCAGGATGGTGGGCTGGAAGAAGTAGCCGTCACCCTTGTCCCTGATGCGGCCGCCACCCGCGACGACGTGGGCACCCTTGGCGACGGCGTCGGCCACGAGCCTGTCGGCGCGGTCGAGGCTCTCGGGCTTGGTGACGGGACCGAGGGTGGTGCCCTCGGCGGCGCCGTGGCCGACGACGAGCTTGGCCGACTCCTCGGTGAAGCGCCGGACGAAGCGGTCGTACACGCCCGACTGGACGATGAACCGGTTGACCGTGACGCAGGCCTGGCCGGCGTGGCGCCACTTGAGGCCGACGAGCTCGCGCAGGGCCGCCTCGACGTCGGCGTCGTCAAAGATGACGCACGGGCAGTTCCCGCCGAGCTCGAGCACCACCTTCTTGAGACCGGTGCTGCAGTGGTTGGCCACGAGCTGGCCGACGCGGGTGGACCCCGTGAACGTCACCTTCTTGACGAGCGGGTGCGTGCACAGCGCCTCGCTCAGCGACGGCGTGTTGGAAAGGCTCGTGGGCAGCACGTTGAGCACCCCCGGCGGGAAGCCGGCCTCCGTGGCCAGGCGGGCCACGGCCATGGCCGTGATGGGCGTCTCGGGGGACGGCTTGACGACCATTGTGCAGCCGGCCGCGAGGGCGGCCGCGGCCTTGCGCAGTACCATGGCGATCGGGAAGTTCCAGGGCACCAGGGCCACAGCCACGCCCAGCGGCTGCTTCATGGTGAAGACGCGGCGGTTGGGCGCCGAGGGGACGAAGCACGTCCCCTGGATGCGCTCGGCCTCGGAGGAAAACCACGCCGTAAAGGTCAGGGAGTAGTCCATCTCGCCGATGGCCTCGTACATGGGCTTCCCGGTCTCGTATACGAGAAGCGTCGCCAGGTCCTTCTTGTGCTCGCGCATCAGGGCATCCCACCTGAGGATCCATTGACCTCGCGTGCGGTTGGAGATGTTGCGGTATGACTGGAAGGCCTCGTGGGCCGTCTGTACCGCCGCGTCGACGTCGGCCGCCCCACTGTCCGCGACCTTGGCCCAAGGTTTGTTAGTGCCAGGGTCTGGTGATGATTTCCGTTGTAAGCCTTCGTTTTACATTTCCCCTTCTCGATCCTGAGCTGCATCTTTCTGTCCTTCGGTGCATTCATCAGCTGGATCTTGCCAGAGGAGGAGGGGAGGGGGAGCAAAGATGTGCCTACCCAGAACATCAAAGGTAGCGCCAGACTGGGCAGCTACAGTCTTTCCTCCGACAAACGAGTCGGTGATGAACAGGTCAGGGCGGTCGAGCTGCGCACAGAGCAAAGAATCGTACTGTCAGTCGTCTGACCTGGAATTGGAGCTCGAGAGGGTTTCATGAATTGAGTGTTCTCACCTTGAAGGGCAGTTCGTAAGCCATGACGTCGGTATACAAGCGTTTCAGCCGATAAGAAATAAAGAGGTAGAAGGGTGTAGGTCCATGTAGCTAGCCAGATACATGAATGAAGAGAAGGAAGGATATGGAGGTCATAGACCACTGCAATGAGATCATGAGCTACCGTCTGTTTATGGATTGCCCCTCATGGCTCCCCCTCACGGATCCCTCTCCCCCCCCCCCCCCCCCCCATGCATCTGCCTGATCCCTGACTCCTTTTTCCCGAAATGGGATTCGAGATGACAATGAAAGCCATAGATAGACGCGTTTCATTGTATTACAAGAGACGTATTGCAGGTTCCGGGACCCACGCCGAAAGAAATAAGAGGCATACGTCGTACTACACTGTGTACTTTTGAGGTCTGCGACATGTAATACACCCCTAGCGGTGGCCCACCAAGGAATAGACGGCAAGGTACGGACGTGACGTACAGGTACATTAAAGCTTGTCAATGGAGTCCTGAGAAGGATCATCATATCCGTTAGCAATATGCGCGAGTGGCGCGGCAAAGGCTCGTCCCATGTCCGTTGGGCCTTGGACCGTCATCACTGTCACCGAATATTCAATACGACATAAGAAGCTGCGAGGCAGCACCCCTCATTGACCTTTCCCTTTTGATGGTGATGCGGGACGCTATTACGTCGTAGTTGAAGCCCGAGTATAGAATGATGGTAGTAATCTTAGTTCCACCCGTGCGTCGATACGTAGTCTGACAACCTCTCATCCTTTGTATAATCATCGCATCGTCGTACTTACCAACCATGGGCCGTCTGGAAGGGAAAATAGCCATCGTCACCGGTACGTTCATTCCGCAACATACACCTACATCGATTCTTCCTCATGGAGGATAAGACTTCTCACGTGTTGACGATGCAATGCAGGAGCCGCTGCTGGTTTCGGAGAGGGCATCGCCCAACACTTCATCGAGGAGGGTGCCAAGGTCTTTGTCTGCGACATCAACGTCGAGCTAGGCGAGAAGGTGGCTTCGACCTCGGACAAGCTCTTCTTCCAGAAGCTCAATGTGACCGACAAGGCCGGCTGGGACAGGGCGATCGACCAGGTCATTTCGAAATTCGGTCGTCTCGATATCCTCGTCAACAATGCCGGGACGAGTTACCTCAACAAGGCAAGTCTGCCCATGCTTGCGCTTAGACAGCCTAGCCTAGAGGGGGGGAAGGTGTATATCTGCTAATATCATGCGCGACACAGAGCAACAATGAAGTGACCGAGGCCGAGTTCGACAAGGTCATGTCTGTCAACGTCAAGAGCGTCTTCCTCGGCACTCAGGCCTTCGCCGTGCAGGCCAAGAAGAATGGCACCGGCGGCGCCATCATCAACATTGCCTCCGTGGGCGCTCACCGTCCGCGACCGGGGCTTGTCTGGTACAATGCCTCCAAGGCCGCCATTGCCAATGTGAGTTCCGAGAGAACAACACCCTGACTTCTTCTTCCTTTCCACTCCCTCTCCGTCTCCCTTCCCTGACAGATTTCAACACACAGGCTACCATGGGACTCGCGGCCGAGTACGGACCCGATGGCATACGCGTCAACTCCATATGCCCTCTGGCAACCATGACCAGTCTCCTGCCAACATTTATCGGCAAAGAAATCACGCCGGAAGTTCAGAAGGCTCTAAGCAACGTCCCTCTCCAGCGCATGGGGGAGATTCGTGATGTGACCAAGGCTGCCGTATTCCTAGCCAGCGAGGACGCATCCTTCATCACCGGCGTCAACCTCGATGTTGACGGTGGACGTGCAATCTAGAACAGTTCCAGTACGAGCTGTGTCTTATCATTTCTAGCACACACCGGTCCTTCTTCTTCCTCTCTTTCTGAATCTTGTGTGTGGAATCGACTAGTTCTTGTCAGTTAGCAGGAGCGTGTGTCCATGCGTGGGCCCATGTGCTTCCATTCCCCGAGTTTAATAGAAGTCCTGCTGATCACCTCACCCGTCTGTAAACCTTGCCCTGCTGGCAGACTTGGAAGAAGCGAAGGGAATCGAGTCGTAGCTGCCGAAGTGCATGTTCCTTGTTCAGTACCTCCATGCCGCGTCGAAGATATGGTGTAGTATCGAATCTTGTACGTACTCGTACCGTTCAACACCTGCGAAATGGAAAGTGGCCCTTCTCATTTCTCCTACGTTGTATCCGGCTGGCAGAGACGGGGTGATGGTGCATTCGTCTCTTGCTCTCATTCGCCAAGCGATATCCGACAGGAGAGTGGACAGCAATCCGGGGATCGTCGATGCAGCTATGTGGGACGGCCGGCGGGGAGGTTCCCACACACACGAACCCTTGGGCATGCCTCGGCCAGTCTTTCTTCAACGGCTTCTGAGAGACCAGGGTCCCCGAGAGGGAGGTGTGGATACCAGCTCTCTTTCTGTACAGAGGGACATTCCCGGAACTATACGCGGCGGAGCACCACCACGTACGTTACGTCTCAGTATCAAATTTCCATCCGTTGTTTTGGCACGTAATCAATCGGCCGCTCGTATGCACGGCAGGGTTCTGGGTACGAGTACAGATGTGTTAGCCTGTCAACTTTCTCTTTTCTTCGCTCCTCGTATCGTCGTCGGATCCGCTCGCGACAGATCTACTTGCACCCCATGCAACTCTGCCAAGCAGCATCGCATTCCTCTGCGCGGCTGACCTTCTTCGCAAGAGTTGAGGGTGGCCACGTCACTTCATATGGGGTTCCCATTGTATCGAGTACATGCACACCGTGGAGGCGTGCGTTGATACGTGTATATACAAGTTTCGATTGACAAGGACTGATTCTACCAAGACAAGAAAAAGAACGATGAATGTGAGACCGGACCTACAATACTTTCCTCTATAATACCCCAATTACAATTACAATGTAGCTCAGACTATTCAGACGAAGACACAGAAATTCTAATTTTTAAACAAAGACGGACAGTGCTCTCCCAGCTGTGCCTAAGTGTAGAAGATCACCGGGGTTGGTTCTTGCTTTTTCCCTTGTCCGAAACACGGCTGGACAACCATGCATCTTCCAACCGGCAAGGTGCAGTACAAGGTACCACCACACGGGATGGCGTCGGGGGGTGGTGCGGGTGCAGTGAATGTGTGCGGCACACTGACTTCTTGCTGCTGCTGGTTTCCCCCTCCCTCGTTTCTCTTTCCCTTCTCCATTTACCGCTTGACATCGCCGTCGCCCTTCTCACTGGGAGGAGAGGTGGGGGCAGCCGACTCGGTCGGGGTGATGTCGTCGCCGGCCGCGATCTTGCGGTCCAGCTCGGCCCTCTCCTCATCCGTGGCGTCGGTGACGTGGACGGCGACCTCGTCGCCGAACTGCTTGCCAATCTCCTCGAGGGAGAGCCTAGCCGTCTCAGGCCAGAAGAAGTAGATGACGGGCAGGAAGAAGACACTCCAGCAGATGACGACGAGGAAGTACCTCCAGCCGACGGCGGCGAAGCCGATGGGGGCCGTCTGCAGGAGGATGATGGTGGCAGTGAACTGGCCGAAGAGCGAGAAGCCCATGCCGATGGAGCGGATCTCGGTGGGGAAGATCTCGGACACGTAAAGGTACATGGTGGTGTCGCAGCAGGTTCCCTGGAAGGCGAGGTACAGGAACATGAAGAGGACGCCGATGGCGTTGCCGGCCGTGTTGTCGGTCCCCGCGTAGCGCGCAATCATGGCCGACATGACCGACGTGGTGACGACGATGCCGGCGAAACCAACCATGTACATGCCACGGCGCGAGTTGACCTTGTCGTGCAGCCAGGCGCCCATGGGGTTGTATATGAGGCCGGCCGTCGTGAGCCAGACGGCCGAAAGGAGGAGGGGCATGTAACCCGTCTGACCAAGGCTGGTGTACAGGATGACGGCATAGTTGTTCTAGCAAAAAAGAGACATTCTCAGCATCATTTGCCATTCATCGCACACACGTCTAACAGGAGCGCATGGGTTCGCGGCAGCTTACAATGATGAGGGGACCACCGAACTCGGCACCCCACTGCGTCAGGAAACCGATAACCATGCGCCTGCGGTACGACTTCTTCTGCATGATGGCCTTCCAGATGCTTCCACCGTGGGCCTCGAGCTTCTTGGCGTCGAGCTGGATCTGCTTCACGATCTGGTAGAACTCCTCCTTGGCGACGATGTTCTCGGGGTCCTCGTCCGACTGGCGGAGACGGACGAGCACATTCCAGGCCTCGTCCTTGCGGCCCTTGGACAGGAGCCAGCGGGGAGAGCGGGGCACCCAGGGCGAACCGATGAGGAGGACCATCGGGGGCAGGACCTGGAAGGCGAGAGGGAAGCGCCAGCCAAACTCGAGGTCGGGCGAGAAGTAGACGGCGAAACCGATCCACGACGACAGCATGTAGCCGAAGACGAGGAAGATGGGGTGGTGGCCCACCAACCATCCACGGCTGAGAGGGCTGGACATCTCTGAGAGGTACATGGGCGTGACGGTCACCATGAAGCCGACGCACATACCCATGATCCACCGACCGGCCTGGAACATGCTGCGTCGCGGTGTGAGCTTGTGTGCCGGTCAAGGAGCAATGAGGCGCGCCACCGGAACTTACGCGAGGCTCTGGGCGCCAGCCTGAAGAGCACCACCGAGAATACCGAGAAGGCAGCCGATCTGCATGTTGCGAACACGTCCGAGGTAGTCGCAGGACCACATGAGAATCAGACAAGCGACGGCAGCACCGGCAGAGAACAGTCCGTTGGCCGTGGCAATGACAGGCGTCGTCACGGTCGCGTAGCCGGGCGTGCCATCGGTGGGCAGGTCGAAATAGGAGTACCAACCAGCCTGCCCGATGGTACTACCGATGATAGAGGATCCATATCCGTACGTCTGTTATTATTTTCCATCCCCCCCCCCTCCCCCCAAGAGAAAAACCCCGTCAGCCAATATACACCGAATAGAGTGAGTGGGCAGCAACGCGTGCAGATTGACTTACAGTTGAACCGAGGGCGACAAAAGCAATGACAAGCCTGTTGTACAGACTCGTCTGTCTACCGGCCTGGGCCATGGTGGACGGACTTGCAGGAAGTCTGAACCGGAAAACACCCGAAACAAGAGAGCAGCAATCTCAGCCAGAATGAGAAGGGAGGTTGGTGGTAGCCGGTCGAAGATGAGACGTGAAAGGAGAATATGGAAAGCAGGTTTGTAATATTCTAGAAGTAGATGAGAGAGACGGAGACAGAGAGAGAAAGAGGAAACAGCTGAGAAGAAGGAATGGAAAAGAGGAATATGCAAGCGGTAGAGACTGCAGAGGGTGAGAGATGCCGATGAGCAAATAGATCAGTTCAAGTCGGCGTGGGTTTTGAGGGTCCAAGGGGGGGGGGCAGTAGCACACCAGAGATGGGAAGTGTCTACAATCCTTGCCGGAGGGTTACATAGACGAACAGGAGAGAGAGAGAGCATTATTACACATCATTACATGGACAGACTGATATTCCTAGGCTATGTGAGCTCTCACATCAATGCACGGTTCTCCTTCAAAGGACGTCCTCCTCTATCTGTACTGCCACGGATAACACAACCCGTGCAAGGGGAGGTTCCCGGACTGGCTGGCGACCCTCAAAAAAAGTAGGCTGTACTGGGCGTTGTTGTCGACCAAAGGAAGACGGCTCTGCCTCCTCACTTTGACCTTTTTCCACCGCCGTCTTGCCCCTCTCTTGGGATGTATCGATACAAAGAGTACATATGCAAAGAAAGCTCCTACATGGTGTCAGCATTCAATACCTCTTACCCCGTACCGAGAACGGGACCTACAGGCAGAGCGCAGAGAACTCGTGCTACAGGCATTCTCGTGCAGGGCAAGCGTCAAGAATAGGACCCGAGAGGGACACGATGCAGATCTCCGGCCATTGGAGAAGTAGAGTGGTGATTGGCCTAGCTGCATCACCACGGCATCTGTAAATTAGCTTGAACAGGGTGCATGATGTATATGCCGAGTAGGTAGGTCGTTCATGGGTAACAAGACGGAAGACGACCCGGAACCCGGAACCCCAACCCCATGCCCCAGTCTTATTCTTCCTGTACTTCTTCCCCAGTAAACGTCGCAGTAGGATGGTTCCCGTCCTTGTTCTCTACATAGGGAGGAGGGGAAAGTACCGTATACATCTGATACTTAAACTATAGTAAATACATACCCCCCTGTTCATGCATTGGTTGTCTATCCGGAAGTAGTTGCTTAGACTGTGTATCAATCCACGTAACATGAACGCGAAAAGATGTCACGCTGATCGGAGGAGAGCCCAGACACAGAAACAGGCGCCGAAATTGTTGCCAAAGACAAGTCGGACGAACATCGTATTGATAGCTCTCCGTCTCCCTCCGTCTCGCCCCCCCCCTCCTCCTCTCTGCCTGCACTCGTACGCTGCATGTGCGCTGCTGTACGTTGCAGCAGTACAACGTCACTGCCTATCTAAGTAGTACTATAGACCGATATGAGAGATGATGATGATACCAGAGTTGTGGAATCCAGTCTCTTGCCATTGTCCACTCTGCCACCCCACATTCATCAACCATAGCTCGTTTCTGTTACTGACCGAGGTGAGGCATAACTACCACGTCTCTCTTCTGCTTTATTCTGGTGAATTGGCTGTTGGCCGTTCTCTTCTTCGATCCTTCTGAGGATTCATAGCATAGCATTGGAATCTTTTTTTTTCCCCGGTATTATTTCTACCACGCTTGGGACCTTTTTTTTGCTGTTTGCTGTATTGGGAATCATAATTTCCTCTACCAACGTTCCGGCACAATTTGAAAAAAAAAAAAAAAGAAAAGAAAAGAAAAGAAGAAGGCTTGGACGCAGAACATATTCCACAGGCACAGATACACGCTTCAGCAATCATGGCTGACCCCTCAATCATGGAAAAGAGCTGGGACGAGCTCCCCGATCCCAAGCGAGTCTGGGTTGGCAAACCCGGCAGCCGCGAGGAAGGCCTCGGTCGTCTTGTCCTCCTCACCCCGGAAAGGGTCAAGGACGCGGCCCAGACTCAGATACAGACGGGCAAGAGGGTCAACCTGGGCTGGGACCTCACCAAGCTTGAGTATGCCTGCTTTGGCCGTCAGCCGTGTGAGATGAGGATCGTTCCTCTCCTTGAAGGCACAGCTTTTGATGATATCTACACCATGAATCCCCGTGCGTACATATCTCCCTCCCCTCCCCCCCGGTCCTTTGTTTTTGTTTTCGTTTCATCTCTTAATCTTGTACTCTTTCTTCTTCTTCTTCTTCTTCTTCTTCTTCTTCTTCTTCTTCTTCTTCTTCTTCTTCTCCACACTCTATCGCGTCATATCCTCTAACTCCCTCCCATGTGTGTGTGTGTCATGTAGAGCAAAGCAGCCAGTGGGATGGACTCAGACATTTCTCCCAGCCAAAGGAGGAGGGCAGCTCCGAGCGTGTCTTTTACGGAGGAACAACCAGGGAAGAGATTCTTGACCGATCCAATGACCGTATCGGAATTCACCACTGGGCCCGAGAAGGCATAACAGGTAAATGATATGGCTCTGCGCCGCCGTGGCCAAGGTGTGCGCTTCCCAGTCGTAAGACGCTAACGGGGTTCCGTTGCAACCAGGCCGTGGTGTCCTCATCGACTACGTCTCTTGGGCGGAGAAGAAGGGCATAGAGTACACCACCTTCTCACTGCACGAGGTCAAGCTCAGCGACATCCTCGAGATTGCCAAGGAGTGCAACATTACCTTCAAGAGGGGCGATGTCCTGCTGGTGCGCGTCGGTGTCACAAAGGAGTGGGAGACCGAGATGGAGATCGATGCCAAGAAGGCCTACGCCGCCACCGAGAGCCCCCGGCATGCCGGTGTGGAAGGAAACCTGACCGTTCTCAAGTGGCTCTGGGACACGGGTTTCTCTGCAGTTGCCGGTGACGCCATCAGTTGGGAGGTCGGTCCTCCTATGCTTCCCTGTTTTGCTTTTGCTTTTTCCTTCATCCTTCTCCAATTATCTTTCCTGGTTCCTTCTCCCTCTCTCGGCCAAACAGATCAAGGACTAAATATTGAATCCCCCAAACAGGTTTTCCCGCCTTCGCCCGATGGAATCCTCATGCACGAATACATCCTCGCCGGTTGGGGGATGCCTATCGGTAAGCTGCCACCCGTTCTGATCTCGTTGTCGAGGATGCTGAGACTGACAACCCCAACTCGTTCCTAGGCGAGATGTGGGACCTAGAGAGGCTGGCCGAGACGTGCAAGGAGTTGAACAGGTGGACGTTCTTCATCTCATCGACGCCCTTCAACATGCCCGGCGGGATCTCGTCACCTCCCAACGCGCAGGCAATCTTCTAATGTTCGATCGATGCTGTCTCATCCGGTAGACATGATCCCCCCTCCTTGGCCGTTTCGTAGTTGGCATGGATTGATATATATACACGTACACACGATCTGCAATACATGCGAGTGCTATGAGTAGATAGATGGAAGAACCATTCATTCAACGCCACCTCTGATCCCGTGCCCTTTCTTCCTTTCCATCGGTGCCGTGTGCATTGGAGAGACTTCGGAGCTGAGGGAGAATCGAAAGTTTCGACTGATGTATGGGTACGAACACATGTAAACCCGATAGCACCATGCCGCTCATGAAATGCAACCACATGCGACGACAACACGACGATGCGTGTACGACTGCTACCTATGCGGTAGAGTCACGGCCGAGCCTAGTTGGCAGGATTCGGCAGTGATTTGACAGGACCGCGGAAAACGGAAATGCCTCGCGATCGCATAGGAGAAAGTGGGTAATGTACTGCGAGTACGAGTACATTCTCTCAGGCAGGGGCCGATTCATGTTCGCATACGGGTGTACCGAGTACAAAGATGGGAATGATGTCTAATCTACCATGTTATTCAACACCAGCAGCGCTCGACTACTTGTACGTGACCTCGAGTACGACAACAGGGAACCGTATCTCCTACTCAGTGTTACCTACGCACGAAATCTCCCTTCCTCCCGCAATGAAGTCTATAGTGAGGTGAGGATATCCACCAGACGTCCCATATACAACGTTTCTCTCATATAGGTCGCTACGGAGATTGATATACCTGACGCCCGCAAGAATAGGAGCTGTCTAATATCCTCCGTCTCCGATCCCGTAGATGATGACGAAATGCTGGCTGCACATCAATTTACACGTAGGAAGTGTCCATTAGGACGGCTCACATTGTCCTTTTGTTGATGAGTATATACGGCTGTCTTATGCGTGGTTCTTTTGGGTAGAAAGTGACAAGTCCCCCCCACTGTCAGGCGACGAGTCTGCTTGGGGGAGGGAGTAATGAGATAGGTGACAAGGTCTGCGTATAGAGGCGAGGTAGAAGCGTTACAGTGATGAAGGCACCGGTGGCCAGTGCATGTGTATTGATCATCGTCCTCTTCCTTGACGGAATCGGGCCAGTGTACTCATGTACCACTTCCGTACAGTTCCCCCTGACAGGTCCTGGAACCCACCTTCCCACAAGGAGACGACAGAACACGGTTCAAGGCGAGAAGGAGTACGGCGGGGACTTCGTACCGTACCCGCCAGCTGAACTAGACCAGAAAGAAATCGACCGGGGTGAGGGGGCAGGGGACGGGAGCCGATCAGCGGGTATAATCAATCACCCCCCTCACCCCCCCACCCCCTTGTCCTTACCTGGACGGACCAGGACGCGCACGTTTCGATTGCCGTACTCCGTACCTTGTTAGGTCAAGCGCCTGTGGGTCACCGAGCGCCGTCGACGACGGCCGGAGAAATATCCTTGTTCCCGGCAAAAGAAGTTGAACAGGCAAGCTGTATTCTTGTACGTACAGAGAAACAGACGCGTGGAGAACACAAGGAAAGAGAGAAAAGGAATTTGCCCGTCATGGAGAAGGAAGGGACCGGCTCATGAAACTTGATGCAAGTGCAGCAACGTGGTCTACTCGTACTCGTACTCGTCGTCGGTAAGTAAGGATATTCGTAGCAAAGTACACCATCTGCCTTCCTATCCGCCGGGCACGTTGACCAGCAACAGCGAGGAAGATGATAAGCTGTAACTTCCACGAAGGCTTACGCATGTATTCATCTTGAAAAGAAGCCGTCATCGTCTCTCCATTGACCCCAAGGCCGCTGCGAATCGATAGCCAGCCGGTTCAAGGCAACATTTCTCTCCTGCCTGACGGTTGGCTGTGCCGTGCGGAAATACTGGTCACCGTTCGCTGTCTGCAGCCGTCCGGTGCTCCAGGGGAGGGAGGCAAGAAGAACTCGGGGGGAAGAGAAACCTTAGAGGTTTTCTTCTCTGCATCTCGTGGTCAGAACATGAAGTAGGACGTTCTCTTAGATGCATGGCAAGAGGGTCGCGATGATGCAAAGCCTGCAAGAGAGTCAGATGGAGATATATGAGACCAGACCATGGCAGATCCGAATACGCACTCTCTCACCTCAAGCCCTCTTTCTGTCACAGATCCAGACTCTTGCGAGTCTTGCTGGCGTCCTGGCGTTATTCACGACTACCACATAATTCTCCTCACTAGCATCTTGTCGGCACACATCTATTCCTCGTGTGAGCTATGGAAGGATTGGGACAGCCAACGGTTCTGTTGGTAGAGACGAGTGAAGGCCATGATCTGGCTTGTCTAGAAACTCTTCTCAATGAGTTGATGCAAGCCAGGATCAGAAATATCGAGGTGAGCTAATACATACGATGGCGACATTCCGAATGGCTCTCAAATCATCATGGAAGAAGCTATTAGCGATAACTGACAAGAAAGAAACAACTGCCCCCCCGTATCGACAGACATTTTCGAGAGCACAGATGTGTGCCACGCACCTTTGAGACACTCTCCATCTGTCTTTACGTCTTCCCGGAAACCTCTTGGCATCTTCAGCATGGGTTCATAAATGTGACATCCATCTGCCGACATCAGCCATCATTTTTTCTTCTTCTTTCTTTTTTTTCCCCGTATATCTGTATATTACCTCATCGAGACAAATACTGCTCGCATGTCCTGAACACGGTTCATCTGCTGCGCGGATCGTCCGGTATTCAGGGGCAACAGACAGGTCGACGGGAAGAAATGGCAGGGTCTCTTTTGCCTCACGCCCCCCTTTCTACTCCTTCCGATCGACCAGCAAGGATGGCGCATAGCGCCAGTGTCACAGGTATTGCAGAGGCCACGGAGGAGTAGTACTACCTAGGTAATAATATATGAATATCATATAGTCACTGGCCCAGGGAGGGGGGGGGTTGGAGGACACTGCCATGCTTGTACAAGCAGAGCATGCAGGCCCATCTAAACCTGGTCCCCGCAACCACACACAAACAGTGGTGTGTGAGTCTTGCCTGTCCTCGAAGCGACGACAGCCAAGATGGAGGAGGAAAGAGAAAGCAGTGGGAACTTTTTTCAGTCGCGTCACGAGTACTGCTACCCTTCTTCGTTGTGGTTATACGTTACATGTACCCATTGCTCGTGAATACTAGTATCGACATCTCTCGCCCCCCCCCCCNCCCCCCCCCCCCCCCCCCCCCCCCCCCCCCCTACCACCACCCTTCCTCGTCTTGAGAAAGTTGAGAATCGATAGGAACTAGCTGTCCTGCTTTCTCTCGGATCATACACGCATCATCACGAAAAGGGGTGGTATTTCTAGGATTCTCCACAAATGACCGTTGCACGCAGTATCCAATGTAAGAGTACTTTGTATTGTCAGCGTGCTCTCATACTCATACGGAGATTAAGTACATGTAGATGGTATCAAGCAGTAGCACGAGCAAATATCCTGGGCGTTGCCCGATCCTCGTGCGTCGCAACACTGCTCGTGCAGCTACCGAGACCTACCAGGAAAGTACTATGTCCTTCTGCAGCACAAGGGGTTTCCCTCTCGTCTCCCCTACTCCTGTCTAAGAATCGTACTCGTATGTATCATGCCGTCCCGTGAGAGGCTATCAGGCTGTGTCCTGAGAAGAGGAGAAGGCCACGACCGAATCGTCCAACGACCCCTGAAGAAGTAAAATACAATCTGGATTCTGCTACACTCCCTGATGCGGTCGACTTTATAGACATCTCCAGACCAACCGACTTTCCGGTCGAGATACACTCTTCAAATCTTCGTCCCCTCTCTCTTCTCACTAAAATCCACCGACAAACAACAACAAGAACAACAACAACAACAAGTCCCGATTCCTTTCTATATAGTCATTCCTCAACATTCACCTCATCTCTTCGCAGTCTTACGCATTCGACACACCCACCCACACAACCGACGTCATGCCTCAGCCTGGGCTAGATCCGCCTGCGGGTCAAGTGTCCAACTTTGCGAACCCAGATCGAAGCATGTTCATCGCCTGCATTGCTTCCAACGCCATTGCTATTCCCATCTGCACCCTGTTTGTGTGTCTGCGTCTCTGGGCTCGTCTGAGGCTTTCCATGAGACTTCAGGCAGATGATAGTATTCAGACCCGAACCCTCCCCCCCGCGCCTTCCACACGATGTTGCCGCGATGCTGACTTGCTCTTCTAGTTGCTTGTATTTTTGGATATGTACGCTCTCTCTACCGTCCATGCCGATTTCCCATCTATCGAGTCCCCTCCTAACCCGCGTACTCGTCTAGATCGGATACATGGGCTACTGCGCCATATGCCTCACCAGTACGTTGACACCGACCCATCTTTGCCTTCTGCGCCATGGACTGAAACATTCTGCCTCTCAGTGTTGAGATTTGGCGGTGGCCTCCATCAGTGGGACGTTCCGATCGAGAAGGTTCCCTACTACTCCAAGGTGCGTCTTCACAGTTCATACTCGCACATGGACGTGTTACCTTGCATGAGCGCCTGATGTCGATAACACGATGATGCTCCTGTACAGACCGTCTACGCAACCATGGTCAGCTACGGACCGACGGTTTTCGCCACCAAGGCGGCTATCCTCCTGTTCCTGATCCGGATCTTCGCCCCCTACAAGGTCTACGTCAAGTGGATCTACGCCTTCCTGGGCGTCATGGGCGTCTACTACTTTGCCATGATGATCCTCAAGATCTTCATCTGCCGGCCCATCTCCATGTTCTGGGGCGCGACGACGGACGGCAAGTGCTTCAACCAGCGCACCTTGATCCTGGTGGACAACGTCATCAGTCTGGTCAGCGACATTGCCGTCCTGCTTCTCCCCTGCCCTCTGACGAGTAAGCTCAACGTCGGTCTCATGGCCAAGATCCGCCTCGGTGCTGTCTTTGGCGTCGGCGGCATCGCCTGCGTCTTCAGTCTGATCCGTCTCGTGTTCATCGTCAAAGATGGGGAGAACCCGGATTCGACCTACCACTTTGTGCAGATTAACCTTACCGGGTATGCTCAATCTTGCTGTCCAAGTCGTGTGTGGAGACAGCAGCACCTCCTCCAGTCTTCCGTTCCATGAGAGAAGAAGAAGAAGAGGAAGAGAGGAGGGAAGGGAAGAGAGGGTGGCGAGTTGCTGACCTTGGCTTGCACAGAATTGCCGAGTGCGGCATCGGTCTCGTCTGCGCCTGCTTCCCCGTCCTGCCGGGTCTGTACAAGTCGATCCTCCGCAAGGAGAAGCCTGGTTACTCCGGCGGCAGCACGGCCAAGTCGTCACAGTTCGAGATGATGAGCTCGTCGGGCAAGCGGTCCCGCAGCGCGACGCACAACCAGGGAACCATCCGCTACACCAAGGAGGAGGCCGACAGTGACGAGAACACGCTCATCCACAATGGGCAGTCCTACGTAACGACCGACATCCGCGCCGGCAACGTCGGTGGCGGCGACGACGAAGACTCCCTCGAGCGCAGCAGCGAGGGACGCAAGGGCAGCGGCGACGGGACCAGCGGCGGACAGATCGTTAAGACTGTCGAGGTTCGACAGTACAGCGAGCAGTAGGTACTCAGCCATCATCCATGTTTACATGGGATTGCCGCTATTCGCAGTGTGACCTCTTGCTAGCCACACCAAGAGGACCTTTTTTCCCCCTTACAAGAGAGAGAGAGTTGTCAATAGAGAAGAATGCGAGAGCGTTTCTGATCACACACGATCTAGCCATCTGCTCATATATAAGATTAGTATCTTCCATTCGCGCAAGATCAGTATTATGATAAACGTATACGTACTCTTTCATGAACTGTCATCATGGCGATACCTGTATCCTGATGCCTACGCGACTGATAGCAAGGACAACCCACCCCCTCCCCCTCCCCCTCCCACCAGTTACCCGAAGGAATACACGGGGAGATAGCTTCTGGCCGTCCCGAGGTGCTGCCAGATGAGGAAGGGCACCCGAGATCGATGGAAGGTCTACTCTGAAGTGTCGAAGAAGACAAGAGAGAGGCAACGCTACAAGGACATGGCCTCAAATACGGGGAACATCTTCGATTCCTCATCTTCGATTCAAGATGGGAAATCATGGCATGCGCAGGTTTTGGTCTGGCTTCACCGCACATGTATCATAGTCGACCTCTGATGTCGACGAAGAGGTCACGTGCACTCACGAATGTGCGATGCTATAAGCTATGTGCGTCCTCTACGTCACTATCGTCGTATTGACATTATCAATTTGTATGAGACATGTAATATGCAGTTCCAGAACCCCACCGTGAGTCGATATCAATGAGCTCTCCAATATGAATAGGGCTTAGGAACAAAAGAGCTGAAGTAGTACATGGATAGGATGGCCGCTTTCGTAGATCCAAATACTTATGCATGTATCATCTCCCACTCCCGCTGTTGATGATAATTACTGGCTGCTCGTATGATCACTAGGCTCCGTCTCCTCCGAAGCCGGGCGGGCCTCGATAGGCCTCCCCCGCCTGTGATGGAGTGCGCAGGTGCCAGGTGGCTGCCCCCCCCCCCCCCCCCCCCCCCCCCCCCCCCCCCCCCCCCCAAGGGCCCTAATTACGGGGGCTGGCCCCTTCTATGGATCCCACCCGCCCGCTGGGTCCTTCAAGTCATCGCCTGAACCCCTCGACCTGAGCTCTACAGAGTAATACGGAGTATAAGCCCCTCTATTGCGTACATACTCGTATACGTAGGCGCTACTATGGACTAGGCTGTATCATTTACCTGTAGTGCAGATAGTCGTGCCACGAGTCTCTCTCTAAACGAGTAAGCTCTAGGCACGGAGGCACTGTAGACTCTAACCTGCTGACGCATCATCGCACCACTTCTCTCCACACCCTATCAATCTGGTGACGACGGTCTTGTGACTCGCGAATAATCATCTCCCCCCGCCTTCTACTCCAAAATCCCTTCCTCCTTCCCTACGTCACCTTTGCCCTCTTCTCCAACCTCTCAAACCCGCGTCTTGTCTGTCGTTTTTCTTTTTCCCTTTCTCCTTGCCGTCGTCGCCTACCTGGATTCGCATCCTGCTTCTACTTCTTGCCGTCCTTCTTCCGTTATCCACCCCGCCCTCCCCCCTCTCCTCCGCTCTTCCGAGTCTCCAATTTTACCGCCCGTTTCATCCGTCCAGCGGCTCCCATTTGGCGCTGCCAGAACGAGACAGAGAAAACATAGACTCGAGGAGGTATTCTCGAGTGAGGAAAAAGAGGGGAACGAGGTGACCCTCTCTTCTGTACGCTGCGTGCAAACAGTCCATGGTACCCGCACTTTGAAGCTGGCCTCCCTCGGGACGCTTCTGTAGCGTCGAGGCGCCGTCATCAACTCTCTACTGCCAACGGACAACATCGCAGCTAGCGCCTGTATATTCCGCTTCCCCTCGTTCATTGCTCGCTGTTGCATATTGCATATACATCTTGTTTCCGCATTTGCGACAGAAGAACACCTTCCTTTTTTTTTTTCGTAAAGAGCGAAAGCACACCATTATCCGACCGAAAACTGCAGCGGCAGCAGCGACAGTCGGCACGATGCGTACCCCCCGCATCGCCATCGTCGTCTTCTTTCTCGCTTCGTCCTTCTTCCTCGTCGGCCGCGCCGTCAGCTCCGCCGTTTCCCGATCTAGTCCCTCGATACACCGCAGCCCCGCGCAATCCAGCAAATCCGACAAGGCAGCGTCGGTATGGGGCCTGATATACTACAACACGCCCTTCTCACTATTCCCGCCCAACGCCGCCATCAGCCTCACCGACGACAATAGCACGTCATTTGCCGCGCGGCCCGCTGCCTTTGGCCCTCAGCTCGCCCCCAGGGGCTTGAGCGGGCAGCTCTGGGTCGGCAGCGGCTTTACGGATGACGCCCTCGATGGCGAGGGCGAGTTGGGTTGCAGCGACCTGCCCGGCTGGGACGGCGGCGGCACCTGGAACTCGCTCAAGAGCTCGACTCTGAGTAGCGCTGGTGCGAGGGAGGACGGTCCATCCACGTCCGCGCGAAAGCCCAGCCGCCCCGAGCGCGACGGCGGTAGGCTCCTCCTCGACGGAGGTAACCGCGTGTCTTCCTCCAAGCCATCCAAGGACGGCGCCGTTCAACGCGGCAGCGGCAGCAGCACCGACGACGGCACCGACAACCACCTGAATCAGGGCTCCGCCACCGGGTCCCCCCATGCCGATATCCAGTCTATACAGGAGGCGGCCGAGATCCGAGGCAAGGTTGTCCTGCTGATGCGTGGTGGCTGCGGCTTCTTGGAGAAGGTCATGTGGGCCCAGCGCCGCGGCGCCGTGGCCGTCATTGTCGGCGACAACCAAAAGGGCGGCCCGCTCATCCAGATGTTTGCCCACGGCGATGCCGTTGATAACGTGACGATTCCGTCTGTCTTCACTACCCGCACCACGGCCCAGATACTTTCGTCCCTGACGCAGCCCGGTAGTTTCATCGAGGACGCGCTGGACGATGATGGCAAGCCCGTGCTCAAGGTCCAGCAAGGGCCTAAGCCCAAGACGGGCAGCGGCAGTAGTGGCAACAGCAGGGTCAGGAGGGGCCAGATCTCATCCGCCCCGAGAGCTGCCCAGATGACGGGCTCGGCCTCTTCCCGCAAGCAAAAGAAGGTCCCCTTTCCCGACGCTGACTCCAGCTCCCAGAGCCGCAGCTGGCTATCCAGGCTATTTGGCAGCTGGGGGGAGCCGTCGCGCAACCTCGACAAGAACAGCCGACCTCCCAACAGTGGCCGGTTGGACTGGGTCCTAGTCGAGGACTGGGACGTCGACAAGGACCAGGCCACCCAAGCAAGCATGGGCAGTTCCAGGTCCTCCAAGAAGTCGCCGCCAGACGACGATAGCTTTGTCATTGGTGTGCAGGACTGGAGGGACCCGGATCTGGTCGATAGGCCTCAGTCGCCCAACCGTCACAGATACAGCCAGTCTGAGAGCTCTCAGAAGAAAACTCTGGAGCATCTTGACTCGAAGGCATCGTCCGGCCGCAGCAGGTTGAATCTCGGGACGAATACTAGAAGATCATCGTCCAAGGAGCAGCTGGCCCGGGAGGAGGCCGCCATGCAGGGGACATCCGCCAACTCTGGTCGCAAGGGCCACGGGCTCGTGGATTCCGTCTCTGGCAGCGGCAGCGGCAGCGGCAGCTCTACCGACGAGCAGGACGCGGACGATGCACTGCCGCCTTCTCTGCCAGACGATGAACACCATGGCCTCCCGCACGAGGGACTTTGGGTTACCATCACCCCGACCAGCAGCGCCAGCCCCTTCTTTGACACGCTCCTGGTCCTCGTCATCAGCCCCCTCGTCACGCTCACCGTCGTCTACGCCCTGCTCATTGTGCGTGCGCGTATACGCCGCAGGCAGTGGCGTGCCCCCAAGTCAGTCGTCGACCGCCTCCCCGTGCGGACGTACCATACCGTTGCCGCCTCGCCGACACCCACCCCCCCCTCGGGGCGCCAGCCCTCGCCCTCGAGCGCGTCACCCACGACTCCCCTGCTACGAAGCAGCAACAGCAGCAGTCGAACTCCCTCGCCGTCCTCTTTCTCACGCCCACGCTCCCGCACGGCCACTGGCGTCCCTGAGAATGACAACCTCGGCGAATCGTCGTCGGCCATCGGTTCGGCGCGGCAGACGTCGCGAGCCCGTCGGGAGAAGGCCAACAGGGGATTTCCCACCGCGTGGAGGCGGTACATGAGCCGACAGGTCGAGTGCGTTGTCTGCCTGGAGGAGTATGTCGACGGTGTGAGTCGCGTCATGCGTCTACCTTGCGGCCACGAGTTCCATGTCGACTGCATGTGAGTTTCTTTCTCTTCCCCTAGCCTCTCCACAGCATAGCTGTACAATTGCATATATACTGACATGGACACACAAAAGTACCCCTTGGCTCACCACCCGCCGTCGCACATGCCCCATCTGTAAAGGCGACGTCGTCCGCTCCCTGGCGCACGCGTCCTCCTCGGCAGCAGCCCAGCTCGGCTCTTACCACGATGACAGCGACGACGACGACTACGACGACGACGAGGCTTCCCATGCACCCATGCCATCGGGCTCGCGGGTCGCAGAGAGCGACCCGTCCGACCTGGAACAGGGCATCCTCCGGCCGGAACGCCAGGACAGACCGTGGCTGAACCTTTGGCCCAGCCACTTTGGATCGCAATCGCGGCAAGGAGATGGGGGCCACTGATCTTGCCTCTTCTTGGCTCGTCTTCTCCTCTTCCTCTGCTCAAACTCCCTTCTTACGACCACTCCACCTTTTTCTCCTCTCGATTGCAGGCATTGATTTTTTTCTTGTTCTTTTTTTCACGCGGTTCTCATTCTCTCTGTTGGGTCATCTTGTTTTCTTATACAGGCGAAGTGGGAATTAGGCGTACATCACTGATGCTGGGAATGGATGGGTTCTGAGATGACCCGTCTTTTTGAAATGTTAGACAATAATTCTACATGCTATACCTTTTATCTTTACTGGTCTATTCCACTGCCCCTCACTTGTACGCGTGTATGAATGCGTCTGAATGGGCGTTGTGGTCGAGGCATTGAACACTGGTTGGCGTATGGTGATTTCAACAAGATATTTGGATACAGTCAATGAGGAAGAAGGGTTCGTTTTATACTTTTGTAGGGTGTATATATATTTTCAACCTGCCCCCCCACCCCCAAAAAAAATAAAAATAAAAATAAAAAGATTCTACTCTATTTTCCTTGTTTTTTCTTCTTCTTTTTCTTTATCGGATGATTTGGACTCCCTTAGATGTATCCCTTGAGGACGGCAGCCTCGGCGTTCAATATCGAGGAGCCGGCGGCTCCGATAACGGCTGCGGCGACGTTTGTTAGTAAAGTTTCTGGATGATGAGGAATGATGAAGAAGGAAGAAGAAGGTAGGAGAAGAAAAGAAAGGAGAAGAAGAAAAGAGAAGACGACGTAGAAGACTCACTGTTGTGGCTGAGAGCAACAAACTTGATATCAAAAAGACCGGCCTCATCCTCACGGACACGGCCGACGCTGACGGTGTAGCCCCTGCCGAGGTCGCGGTCGAGACGGGGCTGGGGACGGTCCTGCTCGTCAAAGACGAAGATGGGGGGGTCGGGGGCGGAAGCGCAGCCCAGGGCCTGGGCCTCGGTGGTATAGTCCCTGAGGGCCGCCTTGACGTCTTCGGCCGAGGGGGCGGGGCGGTTGGCGAAGGACAGGCTGACGCAGGCGGTGTGGCCGTCCATGACGGGGACGCGGTTGCAGGAGGCGGATACGCGGAGGCCCTGCTGCTCGACGAAGGCGGTGCCGTCGTCGGACAGGGTGCCGAGGATCTTGCGGGCCTCGAACTCGAGCTTGTCCTCCTCGCCGGGGATGAAGGGGACGACGTTGTCGATGACGTCCATGGACGAGACGCCCGGGTAGCCGGCGCCGGAGACGGCCTGCATGGTGACGATGCTGACGCGGTCGATGGGGCCGAAGACGGCCTGCAGGGCGGCGAAGGGGATGACGAGCCCAATGACGGCGCAGTTGGAGTTGCACACCAGGAAGCCCCTGTCCAGGTTGCGCACCTTGCGCTGGTGGGGGATCAGGTCCAGGTGCTTGAGGTTGACGGTCGGGACGACGAGCGGGACGAGAGGGTCGCGACGGTAGTTTTTGGCGTTGGAGAAGACGGGGATGTTGGCGTTGACGAATTCGTGCTCTTCATCCTCGTTAATTTTTTTTTTTCGTCGCACAATCATGTTTAGCACGATTGAAGGGTACACAATTTGAGGGGTAGAACGTCCTCATCAAGCAAGTAGAGAGGTAGAAGAAGGAAGAGAGAGAAAGAAGAAGGAGAAGGAGAAGAAGGAGAAGGAGAGGGAACGAGGAACAGAGGAACGTACCAATGTCTCCGGCTACATCAGAGTCGAGACCGGAAAAGACGACATCGCAGTCGGCAAACTCGGAGGCCTTGCACTCCCGCACGACGAGGTCACCGACCGCGCCGATGGGCGAGGCCTGCTTCCACCGCACGGCGTCCTTGTACTTCTTGCCGGCGGAGCGGGACGACGCGCCCACGGCGTGCAGCGTCAGCGTCGGGTGCTGCTGGAGGAGGAGGATGAAGCGCTGGCCCACGGAGCCGGTGCAGCCGAGGACGCCTATATGTCTGTCAGTCGGACATGTCGGATTGAAATTGTCGGGATGGCACTTGTCTGTTCGTCGTCTGAAGGGGAGAGCATCACGGCTTCAATATGACATCTAGCGACGAGGGGCAGGGTGGGGGGGAGGGGGTCGATTTCTCTCTCTTTCTTTTCTCCTCTCTCTTCTTCATCGTACCGCACTTCTTGTTGGGAGCCTGAGTAGGCATGATGTCTGGGAGGGGAGGGAGGCGGAGAGAGACCGAGTCCAGCGATCAAGAGCTCTGACGAGGGTATGGTGATGATGGCGGTGGTGATGAATGGTCTGGTTGGATGCAAAGAAAAAAAGAATGTAATCCGCTAGTCATTGTAGGTCGGAACCCACCTTCTGCTGAGCAAAATATTGATATTATTTCTGTGCAGTCATTGCCAGTCCAAGTCATCCTGCCCCGCAATCGGAGGGGGGACCCAATGAGGGGCAAAAAAACTGCCGAGCAAAGGATTCGAGTTTGTTCTTGACGTAGTCGGTGATTATAGAGGAAGGGAAACACTCCAGCGACTACTAGACTAATCACTCCCTCCTGCATCGTGCTACTCGATTCAATACTACCTAATGGCGAACTTTGCATGAAAGAAGAAGTCAATTGCAGACGGTATTTGGTAATTAGTATGAGACCTGACATTGAAATTCGTTCCGTTCTGTCCATGCAGAGTAGATGACACAAAAGACAGGTAATCGCCACCAGTCGACGCCAGACTCCCCATAAACGCCTAGTAGAAGAGAAGAAGAGAACCCGGAAGAGCTGATAGATGCAGTGAACAGAAGAAGAGAAGAAGTCGGCGATGCAGATATATATATATATATATATATATATATATATATATATGCCGCTCTACTGCGGAGACGGAGGAAGGACGATGTGCGTGAAAACCTCTCTCCATGACCGCTATGCGCTGGAAATGTGCGGTCTGGCGTTGTCCCCGTAGAGTCGGAACTGGACAAAGATGATGCAATCCTCGGTGATGGTGCCGATCGATCCGAGCAGAAAAGGCAGGGCGTTGAGGAGGTACTTCCTGTCCTGGGAGTACGCCAGCAGACTGATTCCGTATGTGAGGTTTCCGGTCAGGGAGAGCATGAAGAAGAGTAGAGCGAGGCCTGATGTGCGCCATTGTCAGCAGGCATTCTCACATATACAGCAGTCAAAGGAGGGGGGGGGGGGGCTGACCTTCGCAAGACTTTTCGCGGTGGTTCTTGATGATCTGCGGGACACGAGCACTGTACTCCTGTTAGCCTTGCAGCCCCGAACGATCATGTCAGCATCGGTCCTGCTCACCAGAGGTAGCACACGGCACTGATGTAGCCCAGAGTGAGGCCGGCCATCTCGAGAGGGTTGTCCGCCTCGTCCGGCCCGTCAGGCGTGCCGGGATCAGCCGAGTCCCACGCACCGGCCTTGTACGAGACGAACCAGCCGGCCGCACCGACGAGGTACACGGAAAGCAAGGACAAGGCGTTGGAGGAGAGGCTGTTCTTCCGCGGCTGCTGCTGCCCCTGAGAGACCGCCCCGCCAGCAGGGGGGAAGAGGTCCTTTCCGGCATCGCCTGCGCTGACAGCAGCCACGGTGCCGTTGTTCGACGTGGGTGGCCCGCTCTCCTGCCTCCGGAGCAGGGGCGAGTCTTCGGACAGCTCCCCCGCGTCGATTATCTGGCTGCCGGCGGCGGCGGAGGCGGAGGCGGAGGCGGCGGAGGCGGCGGAGGCGATGGCCTTGGCCTTGTTGCGCGAGTTGTAGTAGATAACCTGGCTGATGAGGGCGAAGTCGGCGAGACAGAAGTAGCAGGGGAGGGCGATCGCGGTCGGGGCGAGGTGGGTGAAGAAGGCGCCTGGCATATCTCAGCGGGGCGGTTCCACGTCTCCTCGTGCATCATTTCCTCGCGCGGCAGTTTACTAGAGGGGCGCTGTGCGTGGGCGGGAGGGAGTCGCAGAGCGTCTTGTCACTCACCCAGAAGATTCGTCACATCACCGAGGAGCCAGACGATCAGGAAGGCCATGCTCAGACCATCGGCATTCTGGGCCTTGAAATTGGTGACGAGCTGGGGCAGCTGTGTTGATTGCAGAAGTCAGCAACGAGACGCCCAAGGCCGCCAGCAAGTAGGCAGAAAGAGGGGGGGGGGGGAGAGGGAGCGGATCGCATACAATGACACATATCCATGCGACGAGACTGATGCTTCCAAATATTCCCGAAAGGGCAAGAGAGACCGAGGGTGAGTGCGTCTCTGCGGTGGCGGCCACGACGACCTGTGCCACAAAGGACGCCATGGGGGGGGGTAAGAGGTGCGCGGTGGATTCGTAGAATTTTTCTATTTCTTTTTCCTCTCTCCTTCTCTTTCTGGGGGAGCTGGAACGATGTCAGGCTTGCCGTCCGATGAGAGTGGAGAGTCCGAATTGAAGAGAGTTCAAAAACAAGAAGAGAAGGAGAAGAAGAAGGAGGAGAAGAAAGAGACTATGGTGGTGGTACGGGCACTGGTGAGGGGGACGAGATAAAGAGTCATCAGTCCGTAGGTCGGTCGGCTTATCACGGACGGTGATTGGGAAAAGATTGTGCAGCATTGGCCAAGCAGAGAGGACTCCCCACACGATTACTGATAAGGCGGCAGGGCAGGCGGGCGCGTGAGAGGGTGCGTGTGCGGTGCGCCGCAACGGGGGGGGGGGGTCACGAGGTTACGACACACGCGGTCACATCACTGGTTCTGTCATCATCAGACTCATCGTCGCGTTCTTTGCAATGTGCGGGACTGCGGGTAGATTCATGGATCTTCCCGAGATGTCAATCTATCCGTCTCGCATCTCACCATGATGGCTTCTCTTTACAGGGCCTGCAGGTGCTACAGGATGGGAATAGACGCCATGTACAACGACGTCAGGGCGGTAGACAAGTACGTGTAGTGGGACGGTGGTGTGTGTACGGGTCGTATCCGCGCGTATCTGTGCTATCGGGACTATCGAGAGCCTTATCAGCGGTGTGCTTTGGCCCCGTCATCAGCTTCCGATTCCGGACTTCCGCGCATGAAGTACCAGCAGTAAGACGGCAAGACGACAGGAAAAGCTCGTCGTCGTTCTCCGCGCACCGGCCCGCTGGGGTCGAGATGGCATCGAACATCGGATATCATGGTGTAAACAGTGGTCTCGTGATCCCTGCCATGACCGTCCGTCTACGCATAGTCCGCGCAGATACCCTCTCGGTGCGTCGCTTCCATCCATCTATCTGGGTGTAGGGTGATTGATTGCTTGTGAAGGTCGATGACAGGATACGCAGTTGCCAGTACGTGGGGCGACGAGCAAGATAACAAGCCACAGATATGAGGCCGGAAGAAAGGGTCAAGAGCCATCCATGTACCCGGCAATCAACCTGAAAATACAGCGCAGACCAGAGGACCGCCATTCCTCTGTACGGGTATATCGTGCCCTGTAGAATATGCATATGCAGGTCCGGCTGCCGTGGTTCACGTGGTGTCAGGACTCCTGGGAGAATGATTCGCTATCGAGCGCCGTTCCTCTAGCAACTTCCCTGTGCTCGTACCGACCGTAACATGATACATGCGCTCGTAGCGCGTCACGGGCGCCTGAAGCCTGTCCGCTGGACATCGGATATTATCAACCCAATACGCTGTACAGTAGGCAGCGAGGGCCCCGGAGGTTCTTCTCCCGCACGTTATCGTCATCATCGTCAACAGCAACAACGGACGACACCGATCTCTGTGACCAGCCATCCGTGCAGACGCCTCGTCTCTCTCACCGTCGTTTTTCTCTCGTCTCGTCTCTCCCTCCGTCCGCTGTATCGGCTTGCATCATCCATCATCCGATATTCACCATGAGACTGTCAACCCTCACCGCCGGGCTCCTGCCCATCTCGGGTGTCGCTGCCTGGGGCAGTAAGTGACCTGACCTCATCCCGGGCATCACCGCCGATCGGCACGGCGATGGCGAAGGCGATGATGAGAGACGACGGAGCAGAAGGAGGAGGAGAAGGAGGCGGAGGGGGAGAGGATGCACGGGAAATACACCGGGAGAGAGAGCTTGACGCTGACCACAGACGCATAGGTCTCGGGCACATGACGACGGCCTTCGTCGCCAGCCAGTTCGTCGACAACGCGACAGAAGCCTTCTTCCAAGATCTCCTCGGCAACGACCAGCCCGACTACCTGGCCGGCGTGGCCAGCTGGGCCGACTCGATCCGGTACACGCGCTGGGGGCGGTTCACCAAGAACTTCCACTTCATCGACGCGCACGACTCGCCGCCCGACAGGTGCGACGTCGACTTCCAGCGCGACTGCAAGGACGAGTCCGGGTGCGTGGTGAGCGCGCTGGCCAACTACACGTCCCAGTCGGTCGACACGGCGCTCCCTGCGTGGCTCCGGGCCCAGGCGGCCAAGTTCGTCATCCACTTCGTCGGGGACCTCCACCAGCCGCTCCACAACGAGGACGTCGCCCTGGGCGGGAACCGCATCTACGTCCGGTGGGACGGGCGCAGGTACAACCTGCACCACGTCTGGGACACGTCCATCGCCGAGAAGTGGATCGGGGGCCTCCACGGCAAGCCTCTGCCGCTCGCGAGGCGCTGGGCCGAAGAGCTGTCGCGCGAGATCCGCGACGGCAAGTTCTCGGACGACAGCAGGGATCTGTGGCTCAAGGATCTCGACTTTGGAGATGCCGTCAGTACCGCCATGGCCTGGTCAAGGGAGTGTAATGCCTATGTTTGCAGTCACGGTAAGCGGCACGCAGCTCTCCTCTCTTCATCTCATTTTATTCTCTTCTGTTCTTTCTCATCTTCTTTGTTTCCCTCGCACCCCCTCCCCCCCCCCCCCCCCCCCCCGTCCCCCGCGTAAGGAGTCTCAGCTTAATTACGCGCGTGTGTGTGTGTGTGTGTGTGTTTGTGTGGTCGGTCGAACCCCTTCTGGATAACTCGGCCTCTTCTCGTCATCCGGCACGCACCAGAGGCCCCTCCGTGTGAGATTCATGTGCTAATGTCTGGTGCCTTCTTCTGCCGCGCCCCCCCCCCCTCCATCCCGAACAGTCTTCCCAGAGGGACCGGCCGTTATTGCAGGCCAGGAGCTTGGTGGTGACTACTATGAAGCTGCCGGCCCGGTGATCGAAAAGCAGATAGCTCGTGCCGGCTTCCGGATGGCTGCATGGCTCGACGCAATCGCTGCCGAATACGCGCGCAGATCAGAGTCGAATCGGTTTATCGGCACTGATGAGATGGAGCTGTGAAAGTTTGGAAACTGCCAGCCCGCCTTCAGTGCACCTGTCCGAACCCTCACACGCCCTCGTCGGCGTCGACGGGGACTGCTTCTCTCTGTCGCGCAGGCAACCAAGTCGTATACTATTGACGTTTTACGGCTGTTAAGAGTCTTGGGCCGAGGGGCCGGTGCAGCTCCTGTTGCAGTAAATGTCAAGGGGGAGTTTTGGATCTCACACGGCCCTCTCCCCCCCACCCTTGTCCCCTTCTCTCTCTCTGTCTCTCTGTCTCTCTGTTCCCCATGATCCTCTCTCTCTCTCTCTCTCTCTCTCTCTCTCACTTTCGGCCATCCACCACCACCGCAGAGCAATCAAGATTGTCGCTGGCCGATTTACAGTATCATACTAGCAGGAGGCATTTACGATACCAAGAGAAATCAAACTAGATCAATGGCTGCTGTCTTTTCTCTTCTTCTTCTCTCTCTCTTTTTACTTTTTACTTTCTTATTTTTATTTTATGTTTTTTTTTTTTAAAAAAAAAAAAACTTTTCTTTTTGCGCCCCCCTCTCTCATCCTCGTGATGATGTTTCTCTCATTTCAAATTCATATACGATTACTTATTACTGCCAAGGAGCAATGTTCGTGTACGGAATGAGAAGGTACAGCCCCGGAAATAAAATATGGGCTCCCACTTGGCATACAATATTAGGTACTATCCCGTCGGACCAAGCCTCCTTGTTCATCAGCACCGCATGTACGAGTATTGGCACGAACTGGAGGGAAACAAGAGAAGTTCGAGACACGATGTGAAGCACCGTACGGAGTAGTACAGTTATGCGTAACTGCTAACGGCTGGGCATGGCCTAGACGACCAACGCCCCGGTACGGTCAGGAGGGCGAGCAGCAGGCTGAGAAGCGTCCATCTGCTGTTTGTCTGTCTGTACCGATACTTATTCCCGCCCCCCC